CCCCAAAAAGATTAGGAACTCCTGTTTTTCCGTGTCTGTTTTTTCGATAGAAGAGCAGGGCTCAGGCCAAACAATGATAACATTTGGGCATTAATTTTCTTTTCTTGCCTATAGATGATCACAAAAGACAGGAAGGAAAGAAGCGTTGCCTCCGCACTGTAATTCTATGTTTAGATGTTAAAACTGTCATTATAGATGCTGTCTTCGATTGAAAAACTGATCTGACAAGGCCTATTTCGGGACGTGCTCTGGTGAAGAACCAGGAAGGATAGATACCTGGTGGGCTGGGGTAAGGAATCCAAGGTCAGCAGCTGATACCCCGCAGAATTTGTTACGGGCTGAAAAAAGTTTAGTGGGCAAAAATCTATTTGCCTTTAACAAAACTTGCAAGACTCTTTCTTAATGGTTGTTCCTCTTCCACCTATAGATTGCCTTTAGGAAATGTAGTTCATGGGGAGGTCCAGATGTAGTACAATGAACCAAATGAGCTTGCTTGGGGTAGAAGGTCCTCCCCTTCTTTATGCGAGTTTGGCTGGGTTGAGGCAGTCAGGATCTCATTAACCACCTACCAGACTAGTATGGTGGCTTTTTCTTTTTTCAGTTCTCATTTATTTATTTTTCAAATTTATGTATGCCACACATCTCACCATACAAGATAGATAGATAGATAGATAGATAGATAGATAGATAGATAGATAGATAGATAGATAGATGAATGTAATAAGTAGCAGTGATAATTAGACCAGACAGTGTCTTGTAGTATTTTGTTGGTGAAAATGATATGGTTCTAACACCCTTAGTTTCATACCTACCCTGCCCCAGGAAAGGGTTTGTTCTATGTTAAATTCATTTACACTATACCCTTCTCTGCCTTTTAACAATCAGTGTCAAGGGTTCAGTCTCTCTCTTTTCACATCTCCAGAGGAAAGAGCAAATCTCAGGATAGTAGGCCATAATCAAAGGCAGGATTTTTTATTTTATTTGCTTAGCTTGATGAGTGCTTTTCTTGTTACTCTAGTATATCAGGCTTCATCAAAGAGCCAATTGGGTCTGAAGTCATTTTTTCTTGATCCTCCAGATTTCATTTTTGATTTTGCAAAAAGCTCTTTAGTTTAGGGTGTGCCTTTTTTGTCTTGGGAAACCTGGCAACTCCAAATGAAATTGAGAAATATGCTACAATTCTTTATTATTCAAGGAAGTCTTATCTAAAATTCTGCATTACTTTTCATATTTGTTGTTCCACCTGCTAGCAACTGTCAATGGTGTCTAATCATAGTCTACTTTTGCAGAACTGTGTATTCTCTTCACCATTTTACAAAATGAGCCTGATCATACGTAATTTGCAGAGAGCTATTCCAATCAAGAGAGTCCCACTTCGCAAGAATATAGAACACCTCCGTTCTATTTTGGGTGTACAAAGGTTTGATCTTGGTGTAATCTGTGTTAGTAATATGTACATACAGCGACTCAACAGAATTTATAGACAGAAGAATATCCCTACTGATGTGTTATCTTTTCCTTTTCATGAGGTATGTTTTGCTCATTTATTCTTTTAGAGCTCAGAATAACTTTATGGTGTGCCTTTTAGGAACAGAAATCAGGTATTAATACATATAATAATTCCCTGTTTATTTATGAGGACAACAGAAAAGACAGACAGATTAGGGGCCATTCAGGCCCTCCCCAGAAATCATCTTGTTACAGGAAAGGAGGACCACTATGGCACATAAAAAATGAAGGCCCTGAAAAACAGCAGGGCTCATTTAAATAAGCTAGGAACAAAAATGTGTCAATCTTCATTAGAGGACATTCTAGAGTGTGGGAATAAATGTATACATAAAAGATTGTTGCTTGTTTTTCAAGGTCAATAAGCTCTATAATTGTTATAATTAATACTTATGAGAAGAAAGTAAATGTAAACATTTTACTTGTTTATGTAGGGGGATATCACTACAACTGATCTCTATGTTCTCTGCAATGTACTCCCAAATACTTGCCCTAAGCATATTTAGATGGAAGTAAATCCCATTGAAAACAGTGAATTATACTTCTGAGTGTGTACAATTACAATTGGGCTTTTATATAATGTATTGATTATTATACCTAAGCAATTATGGTACACAACTAATCCTAAATCATAATATAGTTTGCTTTTGGCTTAGTGTGATATGGAAACTTGTTCCAAGAAGGCAGCCATAGTTTATAAATCATAGTGCATGAGAATACTTGCTTAATAAAGTGTAAGTCAAGAGAACATGGTGAAGGAGAAAAATTTAAATTCATAGCTCCCTGGTCCAAGTACAATCATGCTATGTCTTTTACTACCATAAAAGAGTTTGGAAACCGATATTGTATGGTCTGATCTTAACACCCCTATATCATTTTCTATCCCAGTTCATGGCATCTGTTTTACAAAATTGAGAACACGTACTATATGTAACTGTTGAATTTTGTTTGCCCCTGTTGTCATTACAGAATCTGAAAGGTGGAGAGCTGCCCCAGCCTTGTATTCAAGATGACTACAATTTGGGAGATATTTTTCTAGGAGTAGAATATATTTATCAACAGTGTGAGAAGAACCAGGAGGATTGTAACAGTGTTCTTATAGTAAGTGTATATTTATAAAAGTAATATTTGTTTATTTGAATAGAGTTCTGAAATGATCAATCAAATGACAAGGTATGAAAACCAAAATTTTCATTGTATTTCTCCAGTTATTAAAAACATTTTGATATCAGAAACTATGGCATTAATGTCTCTGTCCCACTGACAGAAATCTTACTGTCTCATATCTAGGGTAACATATATGGGCTGCACAAATCCAAATGATCACTAGATGGCAGCAACAGGTTTTCTGTATCTCTTTGCTGACATCTAATAGTTGTCCAGATTTTTGCAGCACAGTTCTGATAGCCCTTTTATTGAACTGTAGTACTCAAGTTAGCCCATAACATGCTTGCTTTCAGAGTTTATTTTTAGCTTTCTCATTTTCTTCTAGCATGTGTTTATTGCAAGATTTTTTTTCTTAAGTGTGTTATTGTCATCACTGTAAGCTTGTTTTCTTTCATGGTTAAGCTATCTAAATTATTATGCCAACTCAAAATGTGAATAATTAATTAGGGAAGGTTTATGGCTACTGTTCTCTGTGCTTGTCACTGACCTTATTCCCATATACCTTTACAACACATGATTTTTAAGTGATGTTAGATTTCACCAAGATCAAACAGGTAGGGAAAGCATGACTTTTGGAACTCTTTCCCACTCCTTAATAATAGCTCCACTGGGTCATGTGACCAGGGAGTGAGGGGACCTTAGAATTGAGGAGTTGGCAACATTCCAAGCAGCTACCCAACAGCCTCTCTCATAGGAATACATTGGAGGGATTTTTTCTGGATTCCCCCCCCCCCAAACTGGATCTACCCCATTTTCAAACATAATCTTTTCCTGGCATCTCTCCCCAGACCAAATTTGATCCTATTCAATTGATTTCAGAGGGTTATGCTGCTGATAGACAGAGGTAGAGTCCCAGGGCCCTTGCATTATTTATTTCTAAAATTCCAATTTTAGTTGGAAAGAATAAAAGAGCACTTACTTGAAAAATCTTGCATGTGTCCTCTAAACCATAAGATAACCACAAGTCCTGAGATTGCATGTAATCGTAACACAATGCTTTATTACAGGGGTTGGCAAACTGCAGCCTGTGAGTTATATGGATGGACAGCAGATCACCAGGCCCAAGCTGAGTTCCCAGCAGCCTGCTTGCTGGTGGGATGGCACGTCCAATGTCTGCCATGCTCCTTGGCCTGCAGACCTGCCAGCTTCACCCACCAAGGCAGAGGAGAGGTCGGATCTGACCCTTTACGAACAAAGTTTGCCAACCTCTGCTTTATTAGAATTGCTAGCAATACAAAATGCTGTTTAAATTGAGTGGCATATATTGAATGCATTTGTTCACTCTACTTCTAACTTCTTTCCATTGAATAGTGAAAAATAACAGTGAAGCTTGCACTGTATTCTTGGTAAACACTGGCTTGTTTCTATTATAATTTTAAACGATTGTGATGAGATTTCTGTAATATTCCACTTGGCCTGTCAATTAGAAATGTGTGAATCATTTAAACGTTTTTTTCCCTTGAACAGGTGACAGTTGCCCATGGCATGTGCCACTTACTTGGTTATAAACACAGTACAGAAGCAGACTGGCAACAAGTAAGTATTCTACTTGATTTGACAAATTCTGATTTTTCAATTGTCTTTAGTGTTCACAAGCTTCCAAATTTTCTGCTTGTACAGTGTGAGTTTAAATTTCAAAATTCAAATCCCAAGTTTGTAAGATCAGGCACTGTTGTGTTATTTGAAAAGAAATATATGCATTCACTGTTGCCTTGCTCTTTTTCAGATGTATGAAAAAGAAACACAAATTCTGCAGGAGCTAAGCAAACTGACAGGCACAAACTTTGAACCCCTGTCAAAACACCATTTCTAGATGTTGATTTATATGCTGTTTCACCAAAATAAATATCCTATTTTCTTAATATTCCTCTCCTGTTTACTCAGTCAGCAGAAGCAGAATACAATTACCCCTTCAACAGACTTTGGTAGAGAACAGAGCAGGGGCTGCAGTCACACCAGCAGAATGCTTTGAAAGCTAATTGCCCCCCTGCTTCCCTTTCTACCTTCACCATCACTGCTGCTGCTCCCACTTGAAAGCTATCTCGGCCAGCTAGTTGAACTACTTCAACACCAAAGCTCTGCAATGTCTGTCCCACACAACAAACTGTTGCACACCCAAATTAGCCCTCTTCCACTGAAAGTCACAATTACAACCCCTCTAATTTAAGATGAGTCACACCATCCTAAACGTGTTTGCTTTTGATTATTTTTTCCCAGAAGAAAAAAATCAGGGTTAAGGTGAAGGACATCAGAGCTCCTTTAAGCGCATTCTGCACAAGCTAGTAAAGGAGCCTGCGTTTCTTCCTTTACAACTGTCTCAAAAGAGGAGAACAAAAAGCCTGTATGGAAGCAATGCAAATTAAAATGAATCCCATATTGTGGGTTAGGGTTCAAGGTCCTGCACTCGAAAAGACCGATGCATGTCCACCTCTCCGTCCAGCAAAACCGCCCCTTCTTCCGAAATTCAAGCCAGGTTTTGCATCGGACCTTCTTCGCTCCCCGCCTCCGGCCCAACCCAGCCCGCCCCTTCTCTCTAGCGGACGCCGCAGATGGCGCAGGGCTGGGGCTTCCCCCGCCTGTCTCCCGTCTTCATCCTCTTCGCCTTCGCCGCCGCCCAAGCGCCCTTTGAGGCCTTCCAGGCGGGCCACAGCGCCTCCTCCCTTCCCGCCGCTGCCGTGGCGGCGCCTTTCAGACGGTGAGAAGCGGCGCAGGCGCCAGGCCCGGCGGGGCGCGTTGGCAGCAGACCTGCGCTTCCCCCGCTTGACGGTCTGGTCGAGGAGCCGGGGGGCTCGGCCACCCTGAGTCTCCGGCTGACACTGAGGGGCCCAAGACGGGTCCTTCGGGTCAGCCGCGGGGAACCTCCTCTTGGGCCTCTTTCGCAGCGGAGAAGCCCGGAGGAGCGCTCGGGAAGAACCCCTGAATCGGGCTGCGGGGATGCGAGAGCGCGCCCGAGCTTGGCTGGAACGCTCCGGGTTGCGGCTTCTTGCCCTGCCCGGTGGCTTTAATTTCTTCAGGCTCTCATCCGGTTGCCCGGCCCAGCCTCTTTCTTTTCTGGTTTCAGGCCACTTCCCCAATGCGGGAAAACTTAGCAGCCTCTTCTAAAGTGGTCGTTGTTTCTGGTTTGGGTTGTTTTTTAAGTTGTTAAAATATTGAGGAAGTTTTAAAGTAACGTGGTGACATTCGCCTGCTTGCCATCTCCTCATCCCACCTGCAGAATTGCTTCTTCCAATAATAAATAATACAGTAGCTGGATTGGAAGTGTTGTACCAGTAACAGCTAATCTATAAGTACTCTCCCAAGAAGTGTTAACACAGTAATTCTTACCTATATAATATAAATAGACATGCATATTTAAAGGAAGTGGTTTAGGTAAATTTACTGTTTATATGCAGTAGCTTGTACATCCCCACTGAAACTGGCAGGGCAAGTTACTGCACATAAACAGGCAGCAAACCCCACACTTATTAGCACTGATGATATTACCTGGTTGGGTAGTGAAATGTCTGCAAGCAAACAACCAAGCTCAGAAAGCATCAAAAACTCCATAGAGATTTAAATACTCAAGAAAGTCAGGCTTATTGACAGGGAAGAAATGCCTAGTGGTTTTGAACTTTCCTTTGCTGTAAAGTTTTAGTCACAGGAAGAAGCAGGATTTCAGGGGTGGGGGGTGGGAAGAGGAAGTACAAGCAATTCCTTGGACTCATCCCTAGTACAAACCCAAAGACAAGATATTGTAGAGTAGCTGGATAAAACTGATAAAATGGGCTAAAAACTTTGGTTATAATATACAAATGGAACAGTGGGAGAATATGTGGTTGAGACTTTTGTTTTGGGACTGATAAACAGTTGGAAAAAAAATCATGGAACTTTGGTTTTGTATATGACAACTGCAGCGAGATTATTACATGCACAAAGGTGGAAAGTTTCGACTTTACCCACAATGGAGGAATGGACAGGGAAGATGATGGAACTTGCTCAGATGGCCAAATTGACAGCTTTAATTAGAGATAAGACATTGTCTAAGTTTAATGCTGATTGGAAACCCTTTATTGCCTTGTTGCTTGAAACAGAAAAAAAATGAAATTATGATGTATGGCCTTGATGATAAAAAAAAAACAGATTATAGAAAAAATGTAAGCAATGCCGTACCACTATAACAATGCCACACCAATAATGTTTAAACCTTAGGATTAGTAAAAAGTCACAAATAGTGAGTGAGATTTTGAATGAACGAAAATTGTTTCTGGTAAAAATCATGGGACAAGAATAGGAGACATAGACTTAATTAGCATGTCTGAACATAAAATATCTCTGCACCAAAGCACACCCAGATAAAGAAACAATGACAACCCTCCCCTGAGAATATACAAACACTGTTTATTAAGAGCTTTCTTAGCACTAAGAAAAAGAAAGCATGAAAACATAAAAAAGAAACTCAGTGGTCTTTACATAAACAGAGATTTATTTTTATATTATCCAGTAGATGTTACATTAAAAGAAGCCACCATAGAATATCAAAGCAGTATGTCATCATATTCAACCATTCTTTTCCAAATGTCTGAATTTAGAATCCTCCAAAAAATATTGCTGCCTGGCTTTTTCTCTGCTTTAAAATTGAAATGATTATAAATCATGGTTTAACAGATACATATTTATTTGTAATTTTTTTTTTCTAGGTACCTTTTGTATGATGTTAATCCACCTGAAGGTTTCAACCTACGTAGAGATGTATACATTCGAATGGCATCTCTTCTGAAGACCTTATTGAAAACTGAAGCTTGGGTATTGGTTCTGCCTCCTTGGGGACGTCTTTATCATTGGCAAACTCCTAAAATTCATCAAGTCCAAATTCCTTGGTCCAAATTTTTCGATGTTCCAAGCCTCAATAAAAACATATATGTTATTGAATATGAACAATTTCTTGCAGGTAACGTACACTTTAGAATAATCCATATGATATGAAATCTTAATGTAGTTTCACCTGGCTTTTTCTACACATTAAGATAGAAGAGCTATATTAAGATACTATTTCAACATTTAAATTCTAATATATACCTTTCAATTTTCTTAGTACCATCATATTGTATGCATTCCCCATGTAAAATACTTTTGGTACGTATTTGCACTGTTGAAAAGCACAATGATTGCAGGCAAGGTTCATGAATTTAGTAGTTGCAGGCTTGTTATTACACGTTTGTGTGTGTAAAGAGAGGGAGAGAGTTAATAGAATTTTATTAACTTTTCAAATGCTTTGCAATTTTCTTTTGGATCTGATCCAAGTTATTTGGCTCTCCCCTTAAATATACACAGACTACATTTCAAATTCCCCTATTCAACCCTCTATTCCAAAAACTATAAGATAACTAATTTACAAATGATCAGATAGAACTGGTAAAATATCAGTGGTGTTACTTTATATCTACTGGCTACAAGGCCTTTGTTATCTATTATCTGTAATGAGATACATACTTATACTCATGTGCTGATTTATGTTGAATTCAGAGTCAGGTGGTCCTTTTATTGATGAGGTCTATGTCCTGCAAAACTATGCTGAAGGATGGAAAGAGGGGACATGGGAGGAGAAGATTGATGAGAGACCATGCATTGACCAGCATATGTATTCAACAGACAAAGATAAATACTACAGGTATACTAATGTTTATATTATTAGTTATATTAATATAGTCTCAAGCTAAAAACTATTTGCAACCACGTTCTCTGGTTATAAAAGGAGGGAAGCATTTTCTGCAGTATTTGGGAGAAAGGGAGGAAAACATTTCAAATTTCACAATTGGCCTCTTAGGATAAGTATAGTATAAGTAAAGTCAAAACTCAGGTAATAATGGGGATAAATCAGCCTCTTTTGAAGGGGATTTCAAGGTGATAGCAACATAGATGGAAACTCTTACTACTAGTTGCTGAACTCCCAGCAAGCAGGGCCCAGAGCAACAGAACAAGCAGAGCACATAGAAAGGGATGAAGGTGAGGAAGATGTCTATAAATTACCTAGTCTCTAGGCTTTTAGGGTGTTAAAAGTAAGCCCTCACCATCCTATATTGACTGATAAATGAAAACAGCATTGTACAGGAAATATATGCTCTAGCTAACAACTCCCTTCTGATAGCCAATGGATGCAGCAATTTACAGATTTTTTAAAATTTGTCAAGAATTCTGTCCCTAAGCAATTCACGGTCCAAATCAAGGATCAGTAATGTGAAGTTCCAGGGCTACGTGTAATCTCCAAGATGTATTTGAGATCCCCACAGCATTCCTAATTTCACCATAATAATTTATTTGTGAAACTCAATTTCCAGCTATTTTGAGATACAAAACACACAAAACCAGTAGTAGCCCTAAAAACAGGCTTAATACAGCTTAAAAAAATAAACCCCACATTTCATTCCAAAAAGTGAAAAAATAAAATTCCAGCCCAACTCATAGCCTCTCCCACTGAGCATCCTTGTTCCACCAATTGCAGCCTTCTCTTTCTCCCATCACCTGGCCTTCTACATGCACAATTTGTCCATTTGGAAGCCAAAACAGTTTTTCTTCCATAATTAGATCAGAAAGCAAAATGAAAGATAATTATTTAAAGTTGGTTGTTTTTAATAAAAAGCTTTCTTTAGATAGTATCTTTCCTCAGTGTGGGATTAGTGACCAACTCAATTGGTCATCCTCCATCTAATTGCCTTAATGAGTTAGAAAAGGGAAAAAAATAAATCCAAGGGAAAATAGGTAGCAGTTATATCTGCAAATGGTCAGCCAAATTGATGGACAGGGAAGACATATAAAGAGAAATATAAAAGAAATGTGATTCATGGAGTATGTTTCCTGGAAATAGGAGCCACATTCTCCTCAGAGAGAAGATCCAAACTTGTGCTCTTTTTTCAGAGAATGAATGATAATTTCCAAAAAAGGGAAGTTAGACTTTCTTGTTCTTTGTTGTCTTAATCTTTGCTTAAAGCTCATGTATGTTTCTTTTAACTGGTTTGTAATGAAACTTTGTTTCTGTTTTTAACCAGTATTCACTATTTTCTTCAATTGATTTATTGTAATCTATTGTTAAAGAATTTTGAAACTTTTCATTTTAAGAAAATATCAGAGTAGTACTTGATACTACAATATAACCAAATGAAGTTATATCAAGTTATTATCAATATTTATTTGTGCTACCTTGTATTCATGAGTAGTTAATAGAGAAGATGAATAAAGTTTCATCTTATTTTCATAGGGGATGGTTCTGGGGTTATGAAGAAACTCGGGGCCTTAAGGTGGTTTGTTTATCTGTCCAAGGATCTGCCTCTGTTGTAGCCCCTTTGCTTTTGAATTTATCCAGCAGGTAAGACTGACTGTATTCATTTTTTATTCCACGTGTTTGCAATATTATTTTAGCTTAGAAGTAGAAAGTTGGGAACCTTAAGATTTCCTCCTCACTGCATCAAACTTGCACAGATACATTACTAATTATAAGGGTATTTATGATTCCAATTTGTAATTTCTGTCAGGGAAGGGAGTATATATGGGAAATTGGGGCTGGGGAGTATCATTTGGATTTGTGAATCTTCCTTATGGTTATAACACCACTTTATATTCTGCAACAACAGTAGACTCCCATTTGTGATTCCAGTAATAATGGGCAAAAGTGTACTGTTAGAGCTTTAGATTATAGTTAATCTCAGAAATAGTTTTTCTAGATCTGTTGAGTTCAAACTTTACCATATAGTTAAAATGCTTATCAGAAAGACTTTGGGTAATTATTTTTCAAATTTAACTTCAAATGCTACTAAATAAAAATCTACATCAATGTACAGAACACTAAATCAGGATGGACAGCCTATGATCAGTGTGAAGTCAGAAGCCCGCCATTCCAGACTGTTAGCTATACTGGCTGAAAGTGATGGGTGTTTTGAAAATGTATTATCTGGAGGGTTTCTGACCTAAGAAGTTCATTATATTGAAGTATGTAGTAGTGCAATGTATGGAGTATGCTTATTGGTTGGAATCTGCAGTGGGTTGGTTCCAATGAAGCTCTGATCTGCTAATCTACTTATTAGGGAAACAAAAATAACATTTTTGCAAAGTCTCCCACACAGTTCCTGGGTTGCTTTCCCTTCCTTCAAAAAAAATTTTTTTTTGAAAGATTAGAAGGAAGTGAAAAAATTGTTTCCCTAGAAACAAGTAGTAGGGAGCCTCTACTGGATCTCAGTACCTTCTACAAGCAGAAGAACTTCTGTTCATAGAAATGTTTTGGGTTACTATCACTTAGAATCTGTTCATTTAAGTGTAGAAATTTGATTTTATGTAGGATGTATGCCTAACCCTAACCCTATTTATTTATCTGTTTTGAAATGTATATTTATTGTAGCTGGCCTTTGTTGATCTTAAAAAGCTAAGCAGGACCAGACCTGGTTAGTAGAAGATGTGCTAAATGTTTCAAATTTACTGAAAGACCTTGCAGTACTTTTTCTCATTTTAGTAGGTCAGTGATGCTAGACAGAGCTGAACATCTTCTTCATGACCATTATGGTGGCAAAGACTACTGGAATGTGAGCATAACTTAATAATTTTATTTAAATTATCTGGATAGTAACAGAGTAGTCATTTTAATATGCAATCTATTAAATACATTATTTTTATTTATGAGATCCAGCTCTTTCTTTCTTGCTATTTTATGATTAGCCATGCATTAGTCCTAGCAGCTGTTTGATAATTGGCCATACCCCAGTAGTAGTAATTTGATTTGATGTCTATAGCACATTCTCACAATTCAAAATGTACTCATCATCTCAAGGGATTCAGGAAGTCTGGGGATATCTGCTAAAATGTTGTAATTAAAATCCAATTAAGAAAATGTCTATAGAATTCTGCTTTCATTGGATCTTTTGCCTGTGTCAGAATTAGGGTTTTGTGTTGTATGAAACAGAAGAAATGTACTACACCTGAATTTTTCTGCTTTTTTTAATTGAATTCCTTAAAGTATTCCCATAAAAATTGAAGCATTTCCACTGAAAGGAAATCCTTTTTCTTCAGCAATTGTTAAAAATTCTAATTTGTCCAAACGTGTTACTGCAAGCTTATTGTTTAAATCAGTGCTTCCCAAACCTGGGTAAATTACCCAGAATTGAGTAAAAGTGGTTTTTCTTTGGATAACAACACATAAAACCATTCACAACAGGGACATTTAAATTGACTTAAATATTGCCATGTGTACTAAAATATATTCGAAAATCTCCCAAAATATTCCTGTTAAGACAAAAATTGATGAAATTACCAATGGTAATTTGTTGAAATGACATAATGATCATTCAGTGATATTGTTTTTATAATACAGGTAATCCTCAAGTTAACGACCATTCATTCAGTGACCATACAAAGTTATGATGGTGCTGGAGGAAGGGACTTATGACCAGTCCTCGAAATTCCAGTTGTTGTAGCACCCCTGTGATCATGTGAACAAAATTTGGGCTCTTGGCAACCAGCTCGCACTTATGACCGGTTGCAGTGTTCCGCAGTCACATGATCACCATTTGAAACCTTCCCTGCCGGCTTCCCACAAGCAAAGTCAATGGGAAAGCCGACAGGGAAGGTCGCAAGTCACTCAGGTAAGTCTCCCCCACCCACCTGGGCTTTCTTTGCTCACTCGCATGCACCACGCTCTCCTTCCCCCTATCACTTGCTTCAGTTTTGGGTAATGAAGGAAAACATTTGGGAAGCACTGGTTTAAATTGTTCTTATAGTATTTGTAATTGCTGCTGTAATGAACTATAACTTAATAGGAAACCACTGTTCTTTTTTCTTTACCAACTCTGAGGCTAACAATTTATCAGCCTTATTGATAAAACAATTATTTCTTTTAGTTTCATTTTTACCATAATTCTGTGTATTCTAGGAGACCTTTGTAATTATGCTGAAATAAATAAACTAGCTCTCAATAACATTTTTATATCAGACTCGTCGAAGTATGGTGTTTGCCAAACACCTCCGTGTGGTGGGTGACATGTTTAGAGACAAATATTTAAACTCTTCTGATGAGAAGGACAGAACATGGTACTCTGAAGATTGGAGAACAATGAAGGTAATGTAATTTAAGTAATTTAAAGATCTTTGACAATATTGCGGGCCTTCACTGCATTATCTTTGGAACATATGGTCACTGAAATTTTAGACTTTTATAAAGGAATTAAATTATACTTAAGTCAGATGGCTTAAAATGTAAGATATGATACAGAAAGTAAGTACTGGATTTGTGTGTTATGGATGAAGAAGATACTAAATATCCCTTCTATTTGCTCCAAATTTTGTCAGTGCTGCTTATATTTCTGTGGAGGATCCTAGGTCTGTTTCAGTGATATAACAGATTAGACATTTCAAAACAGATAATTAAGTCAAACTTAATTTAAAAATAATAACAAAATAAAATCTGTCAGGAAATTATAATTAAAAAGGAGGATTGGAGAGGCTCATGGGCTAATCTCATAGCTCATTTCTGTCCTAAATCTCCTACAAGCTGAAAACTGACTACTTCACAATTTAAAAGCAACAAGACACTCACCATGCACAGCGGGCAAATATTCTTTACTCATTTCTTCAATAATGAAAAGGAAATAAGTCCAATGGTTTTATTTATTTCTTTGGTGATCATATAACTTCTTTGATTTTCTGTTCACCTATGGAGCTGTGATTTGCTGTAAGACATCTTTTCCCCAGAGGTATTACTGGAGGAAGCTAAGGTGTTCCCAATGAGTAATATCTCATGAAAAAAGTAGCAGTGATTCAAGTAACACTAACGTGTTATTTCCTTACCAAAACATTGTCCCTAAATATTGCAGACATGCAGTATCACTGAAATTGAATGGTAGAATGAGCTGAATGTCCTGAACAGTCAGGGCAACCTCAGCTACCCAGGGTTACCCATGCCATCAACCCCCTTTTTTTAGTCTGTCAGAGCCCCTCCAACTATAATGACCGAAAATTAGTGGCATGGTTTCCTATCATTTTGAAATGAGAAGTATACCAAAATTATTGCACAAGTTCTAAAATAGTGTTTAAAAAAATAGTCCTCCCTACCCCAGGAATGGGGACAGAAAAGCTTAGCCTTATGCAGCACCATCACCCTACCTGAAGTGGCCCTCAACCACTCAAAAATGTTAATCCCAGTCATCAAAGGCTGCCCACTCCTCCCACTCTTGTCCTAGGCTAAGTAAGTGTAGGCTTTAATCCATCTGCCTGTGATAGCCAAATAAACTTTTCTTCTTTTGATACAGGATATAGATTGCTAGGCTTACAAAAGTCTGATGTGTATTTCAACTAAATCTTTAATTAATCTGAGAAGTTCAGTATATGTGATTCCTTTTCCTTTAGATGTTGAGGCTCTTGTCAGAAGGATAGCTCAAGAAGCAATTCTACTCTGTGAAAGATAGTCCTTTATTATTTATTTACTTTGTTTATAAAAAAAGGCATTTTACTTAAGCACTATATTATCATGAAATAGGCGAGACAGACTGCTATCAGTTCTATGGCAGTTGTAATTGCAACAAGGAAAGTGACATTAACAGAATGTATTAAAGATACTTATTTGTATCTATTTTATAACATTTTAAACATCTGATGCGAGGCTTATCTAGGAAGTCATGCTGACAATGGATGCCTAAAAAATTATATTCCTGTTTAAAAATATTTAAGTTAAGATGAGAAGAGTAATTCTATCAAAGGTAATACATTTAGGCCTGTTACCATTGAAGACTGCAGTACTTCTATATGTGAAAAAACAGTATATATTTGAACATATCCCTTCCACACATAATTGATGAGAATATAACTCAGTGGAAGTGTGTGCTTTGCTGAAGAGTGGTCAGCAATATCACTTGCAGTTTCCTACTAGCAACTGATCGATTCCAATATTTCTACAATACCCTACTTCTCACAACTGAAAGTGGTTTACATAATAAATAATATATATTTGCTGTGTATACATAGAACAAAGTAAATGCATGTGCTCTAAGCACATATTATCTCCAAGTATGGAATTGTTTTCCATGTAGAAAAAAAAACTTATATAAAGTATTTCTCCATTAAATATATACATTTACATACTTGGGAGCAATATATAGAGTTAGCTAATTGAAGCTATTGTTAAGAACTTTTTTACAAAGGCCAGTATGTATATTGACAATTTATGAATATTGAAAGCTTTGTCAAATGCACATTTCCTAGATATATCAAATTTATCCTTAAACAAAGAAAATATGTTCATGTATGGAGATATATTATTACTGAATCAATGCCATTTTATTTCAGTTTCAGCATGTACTGGTTCTTATGTGCTAGGTAAAACTGGGCACAGCCATTGGTGGCCCATATCTTGGTGTTCATCTCAGACGCAAAGACTTCATCTGGGGTCACAGAAGTGATGTGCCCAGCATTCGGGGAGCAGTTAAGAAAATCCACAGCCTCCTGAAGTTGTACAAGTTGGAGAAGGTTTTTGTAGCTACTGATGCCATTGTGCAGGGTATGTATTTTTTTCTCTAATTAGCAAAATATTTTTAATTTTGTTCTAAATAGAACCTGCTCATTTTGCATTATACACATGAATCTGTGCTAAAGGTAAAATCATTGCTGGACAAAATAAAAAAATCAATTTGTAAGACATATTTGAAAAGTTTTAGGTTTAGTCCAAGCACAGGAGCATATTGTTGTTGTTGTTGTTGTTCAATCGTTAAGTTGTATCCAACTCTTTGTGACCCCATGAACCATATTGCGCCAGGCCTTCCCATCCTTCAGTGCCTCCCAGAGTTTGCTCAATGTCATGTTCATTGCTTCGGTGATGCTATCTAACCATCTCATCCTCTGCCGTCCCCTTCTCCT